CGGGTGGTAGGCTGATGAAAAGGAGAGACTAATACCCAACTGGGAGCAGAAGGCACGCCAGAATCTGGACACGAACTGACTCCCGCGGTCTGAGACAATCACCTTAGGTAACCCATGCAGGCGAAAAATCTCCCTGGAAAAGACCGTGGCCAGTTCCTGCGCTGTGGGTAATTTCCTGAGTGGAATGCAATGGCACATCTTGGAAAACCGATCGACGATCATGAGGATGACCGTATGACCCCGAGACACCGGGAGGTCTACAATAAAGTCCATCCCTAGATGTGACCAAGGACGCTCCCCATTGGGAATGGGTTGCAGAAGACCCAAAGGGAGATGCCGTGGAGACTTATTCTGGGCACAGATCGAACATGCCGCTACATAAGAAGCAATGTCGGCACGGAGGGTTGGCCACCAGAATAAGCGAGAGAGAGACGACCAACACAGCTGGTTCTTCCCTGGATGCCCGGCAGTTTTGGCGTTATGGTAGGTACGCAGCAGGCGGGTGCGCAATCCCTCGGGTACGAAACATCTACCCTCCGGCCTCCCGGGAGGAGCATCAGTTTGAGCCGCCAAAATCTGCTCCCCAAGGGGAGAAGTCAGACTGGTGCGAATGGCAGCCAGGATCTGATCTGGAGGTATAAGTGAGATTGGCTCAGAGTCCTCCCTGGACAACTCAGAGTATTGCCGTGATAACGCATCAGCCCTGACATTCTTGGAACCAGGCAAATATGAAACCACATAGTTGAAGCGTGACAAGAACAGAGCCCATCTGGCCTGGCGGGGTGTCAATCTCTTGGCCTCCGAAAGATAAGTCAGGTTCTTGTGATCGGTAAGAATGAGGACCGGAACCGCGGAACCCTCGAGCAGGTGCCTCCATTCCTTGAGAGCCAGAATGATGACCAACAACTCCCGATCTCCAATCTGGTAGTTGCACTCAGCCGAGGAAAGCTTCCTGGAGTAGAACCCGCAGGGAAGTAGGGGTCCATCGGGCGACCGACGCTGAGACAGGAGAGCCCCTACTCCCGTCTCGGAAGCATCAACTTCGAGGACGAAGGGCAACCCAGGATTGGGATGCGAAAGAATCGGAGCCGAAGCAAAGGCAGCTTTCAGAGCCTCGAAAGCTCTGATGGCCTCGGATGGCCACTCGTGAGGGTTACTCCCCTTCTTGGTTAGGTCAGAGAGAGGCTTTGCCAATGTGGAGAAGTTCCTGATGAACTTCCGATAGTAGTTGGCAAAACCCAGAAAGCGCTGAATGGGCCGAAGACCATTGGGACGAGGCCACTGCAGAACTGCCGCAACCTTCTGAGGGTCCATGGAAAATCCCTCCGCGGAAATTATGTAGCCCAAAAAGGCAACCTGGGATCGATGGAACTCGCACTTCTCGAGTTTACAAAAGAGTCCGTTCTCACGCAATCGTTGCAGCACCTGCTTAACATCCTGGACATGGGACTCCATGGAGGTAGAGTAAACCAAGATGTCATCCAGGTAAACCACTACGCATTGCTGCAACAAATCACGAAGGACATCGTTTATGAATTCCTGAAAGACCGCGGGCGCGTTACACAATCCAAAGGGCATCACCAGGTATTCGTAGTGCCCAGTTCTAGTGTTAAACGCGGTCTTCCACTCATCCCCCTGTCTGATCCGTACGAGGTTGTACGCCGCCCTAAGGTCGAGTTTGGTAAAGACCGTTGCTCCCTTAAGGTGGTCGAATAACTCAGAAATCAAAGGAATTGGATATGCATTTTTAATGGTAATCCGATTGAGACCCCTATAATCGATGCAGGGCCTCAATTCCCCACCTTTCTTCTTTACGAAAAAAAAAAAAACCCTGCTCCTGCTGGGGAAGTAGACTTACGAATGTGCCCCCGGGAAAGCGCATCCACCACGTACTCCTCCATGGCCTTATTCTCCGCAACCGAGAGAGGGTACACCCTGCCACGTGGAGGAGTGGCCCCGGGTTGCAGGGATATGGCGCAGTCGTAAGGACGATGCGGTGGTAAGGTACCAGCGCGTACCTTATCGAACACGTCCCGGTATTCCCCATAGTCGGTGGGCAACGCAGAGTCCGAGGAGGCACACAATACCTTAACCGGCCCCGGATGCACCCGGCCCCACACTGTGGAGACCATGAGAGAATCTCGGCTGTTTGCCAATTGAAGGTTGGATTGTGCCTCTGGAGCCAGGGATACCCCAAAACCACCGAATAGTGTGGGGAAGAAATCACCTGAAAACAGGCCAACTCCCTGTGAACAGCCCCAATGGCTACCTCTATTGGCAGGGTCTCGTGGGTAACCTGCGGCGGCTGCAGGGGCCTGCCATCTATTGCTTCGAGAACCAATGGGGCAGCACGAGCCTGCAGGGGAATGGAGTGCTGCGCAGCAAACGAGCTGTCCAAGAACAACCCACCGGCCCCAGAGTCTACCAACGCCTGGGCCGTCACCGAGCCCCTGTCCAAGAAAGGACCACGGTGATCAGTGGCTTATCCTTGCGGGACGCCGGGGACGAGGAAACTCCACCCAAGATCTGTCCCCGACATGATCTCAGGTGCGAGCGTTTCCCGGACGGACCGGACAAGACTGCCGAAAGTGCCCACCGAGGCCACAGTACAGGCAGCGACCCTCCCGACGCCGAGCGGCCCGCTCCCCCTCGGAAAGGCGAGCAAACCCCAGCTGCATGGGTTCCCCACCAGACAAGCCATCCCCAGGAGGCGTGGGAGGAGAGGGAGGAACGGGTGGGACAGAAAACGCAGGTGCCAGTCGATTGGAAGGCCTCCGTAGGCGTTCCTTGAGTGAAGGCCTCTCCCTGAGCCTGGTGTCAATCAGGATCAGGAAAGAGATGAGCTCCTCCAACACCACAGGCAGTTCCTTAGCTGCAATCTCGTCCTTCAATGAGTCAGAAAGACCATGGGAAAACGCAGCCACCAGAGCCTCATTGTTCCAACCGACCTCTGCCGCCAGGGTACGAAACTCTATAGCGTACTCGGCCACGGTCCGTGAACCCTGATGCATGGTCATGAGCAGCTTGGCCGCCGAGGCGGAACGAGCCGGTACGTCGAATACCCTACGGAAGGCATCGACAAAACCAGAAAAATCTTGAATCACCGGGTCGTTCCTCTCCCATAAGGGATTTGCCCAGGCCAAGGCCTTGTCTGAGAGTAGTGAGATGAGGAACCCCACCTTTGACCTCTCAGACGGAAAGGCGTGGGGTATTAATTCAAAATAAATACCCACCTGGTTGAGGAACCCACGACACTGACTCGGCTCACCCCCAAAGCGCTGTGGAAGAGGGGCTGAACCGGTCATACCTCTGGACACCGCGGGTGCCGCATCAGCCGCGGCGGTAGGCACAGCAAGCGGAACGGCATCGGAAGCGACCACGGAGCGACAACCGGCCTAATAACACCAGGAGTAAGGTGCACGGTGCGTGCAAGCAGAGTTTGCAACGCCTGAGCGAACTGATCCAACAGGTGATCCTGTTGATCGAGTCTGGCGACTAGCATTGGGAGCGAAGGCGTGCCTGCACCGTCAGGGTTCATGGCACTTGTGTAATGTCAGGGCAGGAGCTGAGGAACGGACAGGCAGGCCTAACAATGTAACGCACTGGCTGACGACAACCACCACCCACAGACCAAAGTCCCTCAGGGCGCGGAGTCTAAGTCCCAGGCTGCCCTTCACCAGGGCCCCTGATGGTGGGGATGGACTTGACGCAGCCAGGAACCAGGTCGCGGCCCCCGAGACACCTCAGCTGCGGTAATGGCCGCCGCCAATGGCGTGTAGCTGGTGGAAGAGACAAAAGAGTAGTCAGACAAGCCGGGGTCAACAACAACAGGACAGAACAGTACAGGACAGCAGACGAGAATCACAGGTCACGAGCCGGGTTCAGCAACAGAGGGTCAGATCAAAGGAGAATACAAAGAATAGTCAAGACAAGCCGAATCAGATACCAGGAGAGTCACGAGAGTCAGAACAGAGTAATAGCAACACAAAGACACAAGACACAAGTGCAAAGAGCATGTGCGGGCCACAGGCTTATATGTCATCAGCCACACCCCTCTGGAGGATGGACCACAGAAACCTGAAGGCATAAAAGGGCTCCCATCATGCACAGCAGAATCCAAGATGGACACCAGCACATGAAGCAACATAACCACAGGAAAAAGGTAGGACCTTGACAAGTGAACAGATTTTTACTGATCACTGTATTAGTGTCACTGGTGACTTCCGATAGTGTTAGCGCCCCTCCTAGATTAGCGCCAGTTTGTCTGCTAATGCACGGGATTTTTTTTTTTACCAAAAACATGTAGCAGAATACATTTTGGCTTAAATTTATGACTAACTTTGAGTTTACGATATATTTTTTATAGCTGAAAGTAGAAAATATTGTTTTTTTTCAAAATTTTTGTGGTTTTTTTGTTTATAGCGCAAAAAATAAAAAGCGCACAGGTGATCAAATACCACCAAAAGAAAGCTCTATTTGTGTGAAAAAAAGGACGTAATTTTCGTTTGGATGCAGCATTGCATGACCGCGCAATTATCATTTGAGTTAGTGCAGCGCTGTGTATAGCAAAGAAAGGCATAAATTACAGTATCTATACCAGTGATGGCGAACCTTTTTGAGCCCGAGTGCCCAAACTGCAACCCAAAACCAACTTATTTCTTTCAAAGTGCCAACACTGCAATGAAACCTGAATATCAAGCTTTTGGTTTAGAAAAAACAACTCGTACAGTAGTGCAAACTAATTAAGAGTACAGGGATGACCAGAAACTGCGGACAGTACAGGGATGACCAGAGACTGCGGACAGTACAGGGATGACCAGAGACTGCGGACACGGTACAGGGCTGTCCGCATGACCAGAGACTGCGGGACACGGTACAGGGATGACCAGAGACTGCGGACACGGTACAGGGATGACCAGAGACTGCGGACACGGTACAGGGATGACCAGAGACTGCGGACACGGTACAGGGATGACCAGAGACTGCGGACACGGTACAGGGATGACCAGAGACTGCGGACACGGTACAGGGATGACCAGAGACTGCGGACACGGTACAGGAGATGACCAGAGACTGCGGACATGGTACAGGAGATGACCAGAGACTGCGGACACGGTACAGGAGATGACCAGAGACTGCGGACACGGTACAGGAGATGACCAGAGACTGCGGACACGGTGCAGGGATGACCAGAGACTGCGGACACGGTACAGGGATGACCAGAGAACTGCGGACACGGTACAGGAGATGACCAGAGACTGCGGACACGGTACAACGGTACAGGAGATGACCAGAGACTGCGGACACGGTACAGGAGATGACCAGGAGACTGCGGACACGGTACAGGAGATGACCAGAGACTGCGGACACGGTACAGGAGATGACCAGAGATGCGGACACGGTACAGGAGATGACCAGAGACTGCGGACACGATACAGGAGATGACCAGAGACTGCGGACACGGTACAGGAGATGACCAGAGACTGGGACACGGTACAGGAGATGACCAGAGACTGGGGGACGGTAGGAGTACAGGGGATGGAGACCAGAGACTGCGGACAGTACAGGGGATGTCCTGAGACTGCGGAGAGTATGACCAGAGACTGTGTCCACAGTACAGGGATGACCAGAGACTGTGGACAGTACAGGAGATGACCAGAGACTGCGGACAGTACAGATGATTGCTGACCTTTGGGGAGGGAGGGGGAGCGGGTACCTGAATTTGACAGTTTTTTTTTTATCTTACCTGTTCTTTTATCCAGCCGCGCGCTGTCTTCCCGGCTTCTGTAGTGTGGGCGCTCGTCGGGAGGGATATGCCCAGTGCGCATGCGCGAGAAGGCGCTGCGCTTTGTGATTGGTCCGGCGGCTTCTGGGATCTGTCATGTGTCCAGGTACCGCCTTACCATTCACAAAGAGCACTGCTTCTTGCGCATGCGCACTTGGGACCCGGCTGTCACGCACACTACAGAAGCCAGGAAGACAGGCGCCGCTGGTAGATATTATTACAGGACTAACAGGTCCCACTGCAGAGCTGAGCGGGCCGGCCCGGTATTCTGGACACGGCGGCGGTGGAAATACCGGACCGGCCGCTCTATATTCGGCCAGCCATAAGACGCACTGACATTTTCCCCCCTTTTTTGGGGGAAAAAAAGTGCGTCTTATGGAGCAAAAAAATACGGTATTCTCCTGGCGTGCCCACAGATAAGGCTCGGCGTGCCGGCTGTGGCACGCGTGCCACGGGTTCGCCATCACTGATCTATACCATAGTTTGTAGACGCTATAACTTTCACACAAAGCAATCAATATACACTTATTGGGATTTTTTTTACCAAAAAATGTAGCAGAATACATTTTGGCTTAAATTTATGACTAACTTTGAGTTTACGATTATTTTTTATCAATGAAAAACCAGCGCAAACCCACATGATCAATTACATTCCTCAGTGTAAAAAAAACATTAATGTGCTAATAAAATTATATATAATAAATTATATATAAATTATGTTGATACAAAATTATATATATAAAATTATGAGTCAGTGAAAAAAACAAAAGTGACAAAAAATCAGAAAAAACCCAGAGAGTATATATATATATATATTAATTAAAGTCCCGTGACAAAATTAATCAAATTAATTTATAATATATTTTCCATTTGATTCTTCCGTGTTACGGATCCCTTCACCATCCACCAGTGCAGAATCAACATTAACCCGCACTCACCTAGATAATGGTGAGTCACACGCCTTTCAGGATTGTTAAGGGCTCCTGGACCCCCTTTACTTTCTCTGAGACCTCCAAGTGCTGTTTCCTCTCATGTTAGGTAAATCTGGTGAGTGCGGTTAATGTTGATTTCTGCACTGGTGGATGGTGAAGGGATCCGTAACACGGAAGAATCAAATGGAAAATATATATACTCTCTGGGGTTTTTTTCTGATTTTTTGTCACTTTGTTTTTTTCACTGGAACTCATAATTTTATATATATTTTTGTATAAACCTAATTTTATATATAATTTATTATATATAATTTTTATTAGAGCACATTAATGTTTTTTTTACACTGAGGAATGTAATTGATCATGTGGGTTTGCGCTGGTTTTCATTGTTAAAAGTTTTTGGTCTTTTGTACCTGTGCACAGCAGCATCTCACGGGGTTTTGTATGGTAAATAGGAAGTCCTGAGCGCTGAGGTTTTGTTTTTTTAGATATATTTTTTTTATAGCTGAAAGTAGTAAAATATTGTTTTTTTTTCAAAATTTTTGTGTTTTTTTTGTTTATAGCGCAAAAAAATAAAAAGCGCACAGGTGATCAAATACCACCAAAAGAAAGCTCTATTTGTGTGAAAAAAAGGACGTAAATTTCGTTTGGGTACAGCATTGCATGACCGTGCAATTATCATTTTGAATTAGTGCAGCGCTGTATAGCAAAAAAATGGCATAGATTACAGCATCTATACAATAGTTTTGTAGACGCTATAACTTTCACACACAAAGCAATCAATATACACTTATTGGGGATTTTTTTTTTTACCAAAAACGTAGCAGAATACATTTTGGCTTAAATTTATGACTAACTTTGAGTTTACGATATATTTTTTATAGCTGAAAGTAGAAAATATATTGTTTTTTTTCAAAATTTTCGTGGTTTTTTTGTTTATAGCGCAAAAAATAAAAAGCGCACAGGTGATCAAAGACCACCAAAAGAAAGCTCTATTTGTGTGAAAAAAGGACGTAATTTTGTTTGGGTACGCATTGCATGACCGCGCAATTTATCATTTGAAATTAGTGCAGCGCCAAACAGCAAAAAAAAAGCCTGGTCATTAAGGGGGGTAAATCCTCTGGGGCTCAAGAGGTTAAAACCATGGCAACATATGTTTGTGTAGTATTATGTTCAGCAGACTGAGTTCTTCTATATTGTTGTGACTTAGATGACGTTCAGAGCACATTTTCTGCCCAATTCATGCAAAAATCTCCATGTAATCCAAGGGGTTCACATACTTTTTTCTTGCCAACTGTATTGTTTTAATTATCTGTGTTTTGGGATAAAGCCAGTAAGGGAGTCGTATACCCCAATGGGTAACGCTGCACCAATTCACTTTAGATTTTGCACATTATCCATTTGGTATATGGTTGGGTGCTAGCAGTTCCTCCCCATAATTATTAGTTCAATTTTTTAGTAGCACAGGAGATTTCTATTGTTTTATTTGCACATTGAAAGCCTGAAGGTGCATAACTTCCTCATTACACTTCCTGACTACCTATCACAGTTTTGGAGGCCCCTGAAATGCCAGGATAGCACCACCCTAACCCCCTCACCCCCCTTTTGAAAAATAGACAAACCAAAGAATTTAAAGAGGCATGGTGAGTATTTTGCAGATCTCATTTTCTCTCAAAAGGTTTTGAAATATAAAAAGGAAAGAGAAAAGATACATTTTTGCGTTCTTTCTTTGTTTTCCAAAGAGAGAGCAAGAGAGAAAGATGAAGATAGAGATGGAGAGTGAGAGAAATGGAGAGCGAGAGAGCGATGGAGAGCATGAGTGAGATGGACAGAGGGAGAGAGGGAGAGAGCACACACAAGCAATAGAGCGTGTGCTCTTTCTTGCGTGCTCTCAATCCCGCATGCGAGCAAGATGGAGAGTGCAAACGAGAGAGATGGAGAGTGCTAGCGAGAGAAAAATAGAGAAAGAGATGGAAAGAGAGAGAGATGGAGAGCGAGCTAGAGAGAAATGGAGAGCTAGTTGAGAGAGAGAAATAGAGAGCAAGCAGAGAGAAATGGAAAAGTGAGAGAGATATGGCGAGTGAGACAGAGAGATGGAAAGCAGGAGTGAGAGCTGAAGAGACCAAGAGAGAGATGGAGAGAGCACATGAGAGAGAGAGAGCGCATGAAAAACATAAAGTGCGTGTGGAGAGCACGAGAGAGTGTGCTCTCTTTCCTCGCTCTTTCTATTGTACGCAAGAGATGGAGAGGGGCAGTGAGTGAGCGGTGGAGATGGAGAGTGTGAGTGAAAGAGATGGAGAATGCAAGCGCCTGAGATGGAGAGCGAGATAAAGAGATGGAGAGAGTGAGAGGAGATGGAGAATGCAAAGCACCTGAGATGGAGGAGCGGAGATAGAGAGATGGAGAGAGTGAGAGAGATAAAGCTCATGAAACAACGCATACGAGAGAGAGAACGTGCAAATTGGAGAGTGTGCGAGAGAAAGAGAGGTAGTGAGAGAGATGGAAAGAAAGCGAGAGATGAAGAGTGGAGAGAGGGAGAGAGAGATGGAGGGAGCGCGAGCAAGATGGCAAGCATAAGAGAGAGATGGAGAGTGCGCACGAGAGATGGAGAGCACAAGAGAGATTGAAAAATAGAGAGACGGAAAAAAGAGAGAGATGGAGAGTGAGTAGAGAGAAATGGAGAGCAAGAGAGAGAGCTGGTGAGAGAGATAGAGAGAGCAAATGAGATAGAGCGCGCGAGAGCATGAGGCATGAGAGAGTGAGCTCGCACGAGTGAAAGAGAAATGTGTGCTGCTCTCTCTTGCTTGTTCTATTGCACTTGAGATATGGATTGAGTTCGAGTGAGATGGAGAGTGCAAGGCCTAAGGGGGGAGAGCGCAAGCAATGAAGAGCTCAAGAGAGATGGAGAGCTCAAGAGAGATGGAGAGAACAAGAGGGAGATAAAGTGCACAAAACAACACGTATGAGCACGCGCGAGCGGAAATGGAGAGTGAGCGAGAAAGAGGACAAGAGAGGAGTGATAGAGATGGAAAGAAAGAGCGGGGGGAGATGGAGGGGAAGAGACGAGGAGAGAGAGATGGAAAGAGAGAGCAATGGAAAGAGAGCAAGAGAGAAATGGAGAGAGAGATTCTTGCTCGCTCTCAATCACGCTCATGTGCACATTCCCGATCTTGCTCGCATGAGCGAGTGAGATGGAGAGTGTGAGAGAAAGAGATGGAGATCGTGAAGAGATGGGAGAGCGCAAGATAAAAAAATAGAGGATAGAAAGAAAGAGAGATGGGCGAGAGAGAGAGGAGAGAGAGAGAGATGGAGAGCAAGAGGGATGGAAAGCGCAAGAGATGGAGAGTGAGAAAGCATGTGTGAGAGAGATGGAGAGCTTGAGAGAGAGATGAAGAGATCAAGAGTGTGAGAGAGAGAGATGGAGAGAATGAGTGAAATGGAGAAGAGGATGAGAGAGTGAGATTGGGGGTGAGTGAGATGGGGATTGAGCGAGATGGAGAAAGCGAGTGAGATGGTGAGAGATAAGGGTATCTCATAGAAAGTTGAAAAAGCCTCCACCAGGTAACACCATGCAAGGCTTACTAGATCTATACAACCTTCTGATTAAAGAGAGGTCAAAATGTGCCTTGGTCACATAGCATCATAATGGTCTTCTTAGATGAGGTCATCAGAAAGCAAAGGATTTACCATAACCATCAAGAAGGCACTTGAGAAATCCTCAATCAATCATGCATCCATCCATCCCAGTGTTAACATATCATGGATAAAAGAGAGCTCCACATAGTGTATACCAATAAAATTATATCTATTAAATAAAAGTAGAACACACGTTTAAAAATTGTAAACACTTGTAAACAAATTTTGGCGATAACTCAAAATGGCTTTTGCGGATTTCCAATTGCGTGATGACATTGCAGCAAACTATGTCCTACATGTTTTGTCACACCTGAGATCTCACCT